CCTTTTCGGTAACAAGTTCAGCTTCGCCTTCCCCTCCCCCGGTTTTTTGGCAACATCTGTTGTCTGACAAAGGAATTTGATAACCCACTCTTTAGACAATTTCTCATCAGCAGAGGCCTAAATATTTTGACAAACACGAACAACTACATCGGAACGTCAGTCAGTCATTCAGTCTCCAACAAACAATCAACAGGCAGACTGACTATTTACATATAAGTTTTTGTTGTTATGGTAAATGATGAAGTTGTTGCTGTAAATATTCTTCATGTAACGAAGGATTGTTTTTGGCATTATTCTGACAGACAACAGCAATTCATTTGAATACCCATACCAACCAACCAACCAATCTACACACATACATACATACATCCATTGGCAGTCATTCAAAAGGTATTCCGCATAAGTGGAAGTATTCGGAAAAAACACTCCACAATTTGAATCAAATCGATTGTATAACAAGAGAAGTGTACACCGAGCAGTAGCGAGATGTAGTAGCGGCATTGTTGACAGTCAATCATCAAAGAGGGTTATTGGATAGAAAACTGACGATGATTATTGGCTGGCATGAGGGCTTCGTATGTAGGACACCATGATTGTAACACAACCGCACACATTGGAAATATATTTAACAAGTTAAAAAGTATCAGTCCGTTTTTTCGGCAGATGTATACCCTCAGCCCATGTTCGATTATTTAAATATATTTTGACTTCTGTTATGATTATTCAAATTGTTGAACCTCTATGGAGTAGGTTCCGAAGGAATGGACCAATGTTGTCCATTTCGCATCGGACCTAAAAAAATATGATATAAATTTTGCGACCTGCCAGGTTTGGACTATATTCCATCCTTTAGAAAATGTTAAATTTGAAGAAATGGTCCGATCCCTTCCATTTTTATAACAGATCTTGTGTTGATAGAAATATTTAGATGTGCCAAGTCTGAATGGAATCGGATGCTCATTTCGCATTTTATGAGCTTCATGGATGTTTAAAATTTTGACCCTTTATGGGGGAGGTACCAGAAAGAATGGTCCGATATTGTCCAAACTTATAACAGATTTAGGGTCGTAGAAATAATGGGAAATATGAAGAGAAGCGGATGCTTATTTCGTATTTTATGATCGCTTTGGTTATTCAAAATTTTGACCATTTGAGGCGGAGGTGGTCCGATGTCTACCATCTCTTCCATCTATATGAGGGAAATATTAAGATGTGCCAAATCTGAATGGAATCTGATGTTAATTTCGCCTTTTATGAGCTTTATTGATATTCGAAATGTTGACCCTTTGTGTGGGAGGTACCAGAAAGAATATATTGATATTGCCCATTTCGGACTCGATCTAAGTGTGATAATAATATTGCGATTTACCAAGTTTGAGCCGAATCTAATACTCCACCAGCCAAAACTTGCACCAGCCAGCCAGGCAGACGGACGGACATCGCTAGATCGACTCCAAATGTCCTGAAATGGATTTGGTCCAAAGAGACCCAGGATCTAAAACCCTTATTTATGAGGCACGTTTTGGCCGCAACCTTATGGCTGATGGTATAAAAATTGAATAGTTTGTATTGGACAAGAGGAATAAGCTAGAATTTGGAATAAGAGTCACTTAAGAGTGTAGGATAGATGTGCCGAAGGGTTCCTAGAAATTCGAACTTTAAGTATACGAATCGTTCTAAAATGGTACTAAACTTCTACAGTGGTATTATTTGGTATTAGGTGAACGGATAGAAGTAAAAACCTGAAATGTTGGTATTGGAATCATGGTTGGAAAAAAAGTTAAATATATGCAGGTGATTTTGGAAATTGGTAACAATTTGTGTGAACGGTACTAAATGGTACTAAATTTAGAACAAATTGGATTAAGGTGAACGGAAGAAGCTGGATTTTATAATTTAAAGTCCCTGTTGGTGGTAAGTTTGTGATAAAGAGGTGGTTTTGGAAATATGTACCACAAGTGCACGAGAAGTACTAAATAGTACTATATTTAGTACAATTTAGCATTGGGTGAACAGATAGTGCTTGAAATTGGAAATTTGGTATTGGGGTCGCCAATCGTATGTTGCCTGGACCTATGGGTTTCCGAAATGTATACTAAGTAAGAACTGTACTAAATGGTACTAAATTTGGTACCACTCTAGTTTGGGGTAACGGAAGAAGCTGCTGATTTGAAATATTAAGAAGTACAATATATGGTACAATTTAGTATTAGGTGATCAGATAGTACTTGAAATCGGAAATTTGGTATTGGGTATCGTTGCATAGGTGTAGGGACAAAGATAAAGCTCTGAAAGTTGATATTTAGATTACTGATGGTATCTGTGGATTTGGAGGGTAGTTTGCATATGAAGGTGATTTTGGAAATGAGTACTATAATTGTACGAAAAGTACTAAATAGTACTAAATTTGGTATTAGTTGGAGGGATAGAGCTAAAATTGTGAAATTTTATTTTTAGATAACTGTTGTAGATTAGATAACTGTTTGAGATTAGAAGGTGGGTTTGGAAATGCGTACTATAGTTGTTCGAAATAATACTAAATGGTACGAAAGTTGCCATTGAGTGAATGGATAGAGCATGAATCCCGTAATTTGATTTTGAGGTTACTGTTGGCTTCTGGGATAAAGATATGGTATTGGATGAAGGGTTGGAGGCGGAATCCTAAAATTTGATATTGAGGTCTTGATTGGGGTCTGTGTTTGGGATTTGGATGTTTGAGATTTCAATGGTTTGGATATGTTTACTATAATTGTACGACAAGTACTAAGTAGTAGCAAATTTTGTGTTGAGTGAAGGAATAGAGCTTATATCTTGAATTTGATATAGAGGTCATTATTGAAGTCGGTGGTTAAGATATAGAGGTATTTTTGAAAAAGTGTGCTATAATTTATCGAAAAGTACTGTATGATATTATAAGGGGTATTGGGTTAAGGGGTGGAGATGGAATCCTGGTATCTGTGTTTGAGATTTGGCAGTGGTTTGGAAATGTGCACTATTTTTGTACAAAATAGTACAAAATTTGGCATTAGTTGAAAGAATAGAGCTAAAATCCTGAAATGTGACCTGTTGTCAGTGGTTGAGAAAAGGAGCTGGTTTTGGATTTGAGTACTATAATTGTACTTAATGGTACAAAATTTGGTAACAGGGGAAATTAAAGAGCTGAAATCATGAAATTTCATATTAATTTCCTTGTTAGTATCGGCGATAGAGATTGTTTTGAAAATGCGTACTTTAACTGAACGAAAATAACTAAATTCTACTAAAATTAATATTGGGTGAAGGAATAAAGCTGAAATCCTGAAACTTGATATAAAAGCCATTGTTGGTATATAGTATTGGTCTGGGCTAACTTTGCCTTGGATAAAGTGTGGATTAAGCTTGAATCCTGAAATTGGATATTTCGGCCACTGTTGGTTTTTAGGGTTCACATATGGAGATGTTGAAATACTTTTGGCCCGAAAAATTGGACGTGGATCCATTGTGCAATGGTTTTACTAATATACTCCTCCTTAAACTACGAAATGAAAGACTTTAGACTTTTTGATGTAAAAGGACGAAATTGATGTAAAGTGCCGAATTTGGCAATATTCAAAAAATCCGTTAAAAATTCTGTTAAAATCTTTAAAATACCGAATGTAGCCATTATATTAGGGTCTATACGACGAAAACGAAACTTAAAAAAAATCTGGGCATAATATAGCTAAATTCATCTAAATACCGAATATAAGGAGGTACCATAGGGGTCTATACCAAAACGGGAACCTGCACAGACAAATTTCTGTCTAAGGCTGTAGTATCCGTTACGAACTTCAAATGCAAAATTTGAAACAATTCCGGTTAATATTGTCGCTAAAATCATTAAAATGCCGAATATCGGGAGGTGCCGTTACATGGGGGCTATACGAAGACTTGCACCTGCACAGACAATTTTCTGTCATAGGCTGTAGTATCCATTTCGAACTTCAAATACCAAATTTGAAACATTTCCGGTGAATAATGTCGCCTAAATCATCAAAATACCGAATATCGGGAGCTGCCGTTATATGGGAGCTATACGAAGTCGTGGACCGTTTCCGGTGAATAATGTAGCCTAAATCGCCAAAATACCGAAAATAGGGAGGTACAATTATATGGGGGCTGTGGGGGCTAAAAGTGATGCAGACATTTGAGTAAAATTGTATCAACCTACTTCATTTCTTTCAGAAGCTAGAGTGATTTCCACAGACGGACAAACGGACGGGCACTGGCTAGTGGGCGCTAACACGAACTGTTGGAACAAAGCTAAAATTTAAAGGTGGATTTTTCGCTGACGAAGTAGAGGGCACTTGTTGTTATATACAATACTTTATAGTTTTTTTTTTTTTGCAAATATTTCGAGATTTTTAAAACAGAATAAAAAATGAGGTTAAAAATATGTTCCTATTGCATAACCCTCTTGTAAACAAACAACAATATGACAAAGCATCATGCCTCTGAGGAGGTGTGGAGCGATTGCTGTTAAGGGCCGTCTGTGTCAGACTGGGGCCAATTCCGACCAACAATAAAAACCCTTTGATGATGAAAAATTGCCAAAGCCATTCCAAACAAATAACAAAAAATTAAAAAAAAAAAAAAACGAAATAAAATTGTTTACTAAACTTTTACGCAAACTCATGCCTGAGTAGCAGTGACGGGCGGCCGCACGGGCAACATTACGCACTTGAATGATTTGAATCATCATCGTCAATACAACAACAATAACAAAAAATTCTTCACAAAAAATGAAAGAAAAAACTCACAGCAATTTAATTAAAAAAGTGAAAAAAAAGTATTGAAGTTTGATGAAACAAGCTCGGCACAATTTACAAATGGTCATGTCGGTGAGTGAGTGAGTGTGTGTGTGAGTGTCTGTGTGCAAGTTTTGAAATCCCATATAGCTGCTACCCTCACCATTCGTTAATGGCTACTAGCACCAAATGGCAACAAAAACAACCAGTTACATGAAAAAGAATGTTACTGACCTTACATTACAACATGTAAAAAACGATTTATCACGGCCAGCGAGGGCCAAGGGAGCGGCAGCGAGGCACCCAGGAGTAGCAGCAATTCCAACAAGGTTTACGGTGATAAAAAGAAAACAAAAAAAGAGCCGCTTTTCAAACTCTCAATGAAGTCCAGCTAACGATGTACAGTGAACGATGACGGCAAACAAGCCGGGCAACAAACGGCTATGCAAGGCGCTTTGAGGCTCGAGACGCATTTGACATATCAGAACAGGTATTGAATATTAATTTTATGCCTTGTTGTTGTGAATATTTTTCTTTTAAAATTTTCTTTTTTTGCAAACTTATTTTTCTTTTCTCTTTTTTTGCTTTGATTTTCTTATTTTTGTTTTCACCTTATTTATTTGTTTATTTTCCACACTGAAAAACACCAAACAGCGCCGATTTTTGTTTTGCGCATGCGCCGCGTTTTTCTTGCACTTAATTTTAACAGCTTATATTTTTCATGAAGCCAATACACGGCCGCCTGATGATTTTCACACCATTCCGCTTGTTTGTAAATAATGTTGACAACCGAACGAACGACGACCACTCCCGCCTGAAATTCTTTCTCGAGGATAATTTCTCTTTCCGTTGATGCGTTGCTGATGTTTACGGAAATATTTGCTCACTTCTCGAATTATTTTGGGGAATTTCTAAAACAAACAAAAAAAAAAGAACAAAAAAAACCTCATTAAAAAATTGTCTTCGCCAGAGTAACCAATAAACCAAAATAACTTTTTTTGTGAAATGGAAGGGAGACGTTTTGAAAACACTTCTCTCTCAAAAATATTTTTCTCATTTTTCTCTGGGCTCTCAGAGGTATTTTACTTTTTTTAACAAAATCGGCGCACTACTTTAAGATATTCTCTCTATTTGAAATTTTGAATTTTTTAAGAGAGTAAATCCAAGCCATAAAGAGAAAAAGTTTCTCCAGCGAATGCCAACCTTAGCTTGAATCGCGTTTATTTTTTGTTGGTATTCAATGAGCGCCATTCAATAAACAACACACAATCGTGCTCCATACACACACACTGACATACAGAAACACAAAAACCCCCCACTGAATTCCAGCTTAAATGGTGAAAGATATCTAAGCCCAAGTTTATGGCTCTCGTGAGAATTATCGAGGATGAATTTGAAATGGTTGATCGATATGGAGTTGCCAGATAGATACTTTTTTTGAATTATTGAAATTCATGGATTGATGGCTTGAGAAATTATTCTGGAGGCACTTTAGAGATAACAGGTAAAAAATCTTATACCCTCCACCATTCGAAAGGAACTTGAAAAAATAAAAAATCCTTGGAAAAATACCGCTCAAATGAAAACCGTTATATGGGGGACATACGTGGACCTGCATAAGTAATTTTTTGTCATGGCCTGTAGTAATTATTCCGAACTTCAAATACGAAATTCGAAACAATTCCGGTGAATAATGTCGCTAATACCATCAAAATACCGAATAAAGGGAATTACCGTTGTATGGGGGCTATACTAAAGCGTGACGTAAGACAATTTCCCCTCATAGGTTGTAGTACCCATTACGAACTCTAAATACGAACTTTGACGCAATTCCGGTGAATAATGTCGCGAAAATCCTGGAAAAATTGAATATGTCGGGGAAGCGATATATGAGTCCTATACTAAAACGCAGACCTTTATATACAAATTTTTTCAGGGTGTAAAGTACTCAGAGGAAACTCCTTGTGTAGAATTTCAGACAATTCCACTAAAAAATGTGGTTAAAATCATCAAAATACCGAATATCGGGGGTACCGTTATGTGGGGGATATACGATACCGTGGACCTATATACAATAGACAATACTCTTTCAGGGGGTTAAGTACTCACAGAGTACTCCTTGTGTAGAATTTCAGGTAAGTACATTTAAAAAGAAGTAAAAAAACATTAAATTCGGCCGGGCCGAAGTTTTAAAACCCTCCACCTTAGGGCAATAGAAACATTAGGACACATTATGACCTACAAATACCAATTCTCAGACAAATCCGTGATAAATGTGGCAAAAATCATCAAAATACCGAATATCGGGAGGTACCGGACTGATGCATGCAATGTTTCGCTAGAACCCATTATGACCAACAAATACCAATATTTAGACAAATCCATAAAAAATGTGGACAAATCCATAATCAAAATACCGAATATCAGGGGTACCGTTATATGGGGGCCACACGATATCGTGGACCGATATAGCCCATCTTCAAACTTGACCTGCATGCAGACAAAAGACAGATCGGATCAAAATTTACGGTACCGGTCGAAATTATGACCAGATTCTCACGAAATTTGGCATGGAGATAGGGTCAGCCTATTGTTGTTGGAGATGATCGCAAAATATTTAGAGGCTGCACTAAAACGGAGCTTTTTGCTGTCGCTCTTTAGCTCACAATTATAAATCGATCGAAACGTAATTTTGCGTTGGATTACGTTTTAGGACAGGGTAGAAGCCTACAATCTTGAATCGTCCACGGATAATCTTTAGCGGGGAAAATAGACTATACTTTTGTGTGTGGAAACTTCCCAAATTTCCATTCGGCGAATATTTCTGATGAGAATAAAATTATAATGCGATTTAGCGATGTCCGTCCATCCTTTCGTCCATCTGCCCGTTCAAATCACGACAGGGTTCACATTATTTTATCTAGAACTTTGAAATTTGACACGAAGATTCATACCACGTTTTTTACGCTTGGGTATAGCCCAGGTTCTCGGTATTTCGATTTCTTACCAAATCAGCTAAAACTTGATATTGGGGGTTTTGGTAGGTCTGTTCTCTGCAAATCTGGTCCACTTATGGTACTTATCTATAACGCCCATATAATACTACCTGCGAATATTCGATAATTTTAGACACATTTTCACGATTTTTTTTATATCTGAGCCATGTAGTTACAGAGGGTATATATCATTTGATTCGGCCTAAACGCGCCTCATCGAAATAACGGTTTTAGACCTTTAGTCTTTCTGGCCCAAATCCGTTTCAGGACATTTGGAGTTGACCTGGCGTTTTCCGTCGGCCCATCTGTCTGGCCGGTGCGCTTGATAACTCTCGAAGGGTGTATCCAATTTGATCCAAACTTGGTACATCGTTATATTTTTGTCAAATTTAGATCAAGTACGGAGATAAGCAATAGGTCATGTGTGAATTTGGAATATATCGGACCGCTCATTCCCGTGCCTCCTCCAAAGTGGCTCAAAATTTTAAATATCCATGTAGCGAAGTGTGTATCCGTTCACTTTCAAACTCGGCACATTCGAATATTTCTACTAAAACAATATTAGATGTTAGAATGGAATATATCGGATCACTACTTCTGGCATCTCCACCAGAAATCGTTCACATTTTGAATAGTTATTACTCTTATAAAATTCAAAAGAGGCATTCTCTTCTCTTCAAGGCCTGGTGGGAAGGTTGTAAATATAGATTTATGCTTTTCCCACTCTTTCCACAAACGTTTTGGAGGCAGCGAATTTTTTTTTGGAGTTTGGAGTATCAGCTGTAGTATTTAGTTGCATTGATATCGTAAAATGGCCTATCCCCACACCAAATACCAACTCCTCTGATCTGGCAACTTTACACTCATTAAGAAACCAAAGTAGAAAAAAAAAACGAACAAGAACATCAGCGTGGCTTGGCGAAAACAGAAGAAGAAAAAAATCGCGCACTGCAACTCATTTGTTTGGTATGACAGCGATCTCTAAGAAAGGCAATCCCACAACGACTCGAACTGATGACGATGGAAAAGAAACGTGAAGCACACACATGGCGGACACACCAACAAAACAAACGAGTCTCCCAAAAGAATGTGGTCGTAGTATCCAGTTTTGTAACGTGTGGCATAAACGAAACAAAATCAGCAGCAGCAGCAACAACAACAAAATGACGGCAGCACGAGCTCTAGAGTTGGAGCGGCCAGCATCAACAACACATTCAACAAAAGCTTGTTTTCATGGCACAGCATAAAATCGTACGAAGAACAACAAAAAAACAACTAAAACGCCAACAGCAAACTACAAAAACAAATCAACTCGTTCGCTATGACGCTGCTATTAAAATGAAATTGAAAAAATACACGAAGAGGAAAAACACACACACACAAGAAAACGTTGACAAGAAATACCACAAAAGAAGAAAAAAACATTGCAGCTCAATTTTGATTCGATTTTCAAACCGGTATTGAAGACGCAGGAAAAAAAACATAAACGCTGAGCATAAACGGCGAAAAATGAAGCCGATGTTGGGACGTGAGTAGGCTGCCGTTTCGCGGTAAAGTTTTCATACCACACTAGAGTTGTTTAAAACCTGGCCAATGTAAAATATTTATTAAATAGAATACATATAGAACTTCAAAGGTCTGGTATTTGTAGAACACATAATGAAGATCTGCCAAAACACTTACTTAGGAATGTTCCCCTGCAATCTCGAGAAACATTATTATACGTATTACAGTTTTTATATTCTGTCGGGGGCGAAATGTTTTGGAGATACTATCCCAAGAATCCTTTTATATAAGGGGAGAATATTGATGCCAGTTCTAAAGTAATTAAAAATCTCACTCCTTTCTTTGTTTTTTATACCCTCCACCATACTATGGAGGGTATATTAATTTTGTCATTCTCGAAATACTCATGTCAGACCCAACAAAGTATATATATTCTTGATCAGCGTTAAATTCTAAGACGATTTAGCCATGTCCGTCTGTGTCTGTCTGTCTGTTGAAATAACGCTATCTTTCGAACGAATTAAGATAGAAGGCCAACATTTTGCACACATGTTTATTTTGCCAGAAGGCAGGTTAAGTTCGAAAATGGACCATGTAGGTCCCCGTTTTCATATAGCCCCCATATAACGGTACCTCCCGATATTCGGTATTTTGATGATTTTAGCGACATTATTCCCCGGAATTGTTTCAAATTTGGTATTTGAATTTCAAAATGGATACTACAGCCTGAGACAGAAAATTGTCTGTGCAAGTCCACGTCCTCGTATAGCCGCCATATAACGGTACCTCCCGATATTCGGTATTTTGATGATTTTAGCCACATTATTCACCGGAATTGTCTCAAATTTGGTGTTTGAAGTTCGAAATAGATACTACAGCCTGGGGCAGAAAATTGTCTATGCAGATTCACGTCTTCGTATAGCTCCCATATAACGGTACCTCCTAATATTCGGTATTTTGATGATAGCGCCATTATTCAACATAGTAGTTTCAAATTATGTATTTAGAGTTTGTAATGGGAACTACAGTCTGTGACAGAAAATTGTGCATGCAGGTCCAGGCCTTCGTATAGGCCCCATACATCAGTACCTCCCTATATTCGGTATTTTGACGATTTTAGGTACAATACCCATCGAAATTGTTTGAGATGTGGTAGTTGAAGTGACCGAAAATTGTCTGTGACAGAAAATTATCTATGCAGGTCCAGGTCTTCGCACAGCTCCGATATAACAGTACCACTCTGAATACGATATTTTGATGATCTGTTGATTTCAAGTTTCGAATTTGAATACAGGGTTGCCCATATTCGACGGACCCATCTGGCAACGCCATAACTTTTGACAGATATGTTACATCGCTTAATGACATACCGCATTTGAAGCGTCAGTCCAAGCAGATTTTTACCATGA